TAATTCATATATATATATTTTTTTTCCACTGATAGTATCTGAGAATTAAAAGCTTTATTTTTTATTTTAATTTTTTTGAGAAGGAGTCTTGCTCTGTCACCCTGGCTAGAGTGCAGTGGCATTTATCTTGGCTCACTGCAACTTCCACCTCTCAGGTTCAAGCAATTCTTCTGCCTCACCCTCCCAGGTAGCTGAGATTACAGGCATGCACCACTGCACCTGGCCCAATTTTTGCCTTTTTAGTAGAGACGGGGTTTTACCATGTTGGCCAGGATGGTCTCGAACTCCTGACCTCATGTGTTCCCCCACCTTGGCTTTCCAGAGTGTTGGGATTATAGGCGTGAGCCACTGCACCTGGCTAAATTTTTGGCTCCCCTCCCTTCCCCTCCCCTTCCCTTTCTATTTTTTTGTTTTTTGTTTTTTTGAGATGGAGTCTCACTCTGTTGCCCAGGCTGGAGTGCAATGTCACCATCTCAGCTCACTGCAACCTCTGCCTCCTGGATTCAAGTGATTCTCCTGTCTCAGCCTCCTGAGTAGCTGGGATTACAGGTGCCCACACCACACCTGGCTTTCGTATTTTTAATAGAGACGGGATTTCACCATGTTCACTCTTGAACTCCTGACTTCGTGATCTGCCCACCTTGGCCTCCCAAAGTGCTGGGATTACAGGGGTTAGTCATTGTGCCCGGCCTAAAGTTTAATTTCCAGAGCAGTTTTAGGTATACAGCAAAATTAAGCAGACCGTATACCCAGCTCCCATATGGCCCCTCTCACCCACACACCCACCCAGCTTCCCCCATCATCAGCATTCCCCACACAATAGTACATTTTTTATGATCAATGACCCACATTGTCACAACATTATCACTAAAAATCCAGTTTTGGGTTCACTCTTAGTGCTGTACATTCTTGTATCCACTGTTACGGTATCATAAGGAGTATTTTCACTGTCCTAAACATCATCTGTGCTCTTCCTATTCATCCCTCCCTGCCCTACCCCCTGGCTGTTTTCATCGTCTCCATAGTTTTGCCTTTTCCAGAATGTCATGGAGTTGGAATCATGCAACTTTCAGATTGGCTTCTGTCTTAGTCGGTTTTCTGTTGCTTATAGCAGACTACTGGAAGCTGGGTGATTCATAAATTATTTTATTTACTTGCTTTTGAGACAGGGTCTCACTCTGTTGCCCAGGCTGGAGTGCAGTGGCAGTGGCATAATCACCGCTCACTCAGCCTCAACCTCCCAAGCTCAAGTGATCCTCCCACCCGGCCTCCTGAATAGCTGGACTACAGGCATGTACTACTATGCCCAGCTGATTTTTGTAGTTTTTTTCTAAATAGATACAGAGTTTTGCCATGTTGCCCAGGGTGGTCTCAAATTCCTGAGCTCAAGGGATCCCCCATCTTGGCCTCCCAAAGTGCTGGGATTACAGGCATGAGTCACAGCACCTGGCCAGAATTTATTTCTTACAATTATGGAGGCTGGGAAGTTCAAGGTCCAGGGGGTGTGTCTGATGAAAGCGTTCTTGCTGGTGAGGACTCTCAAGTGTCTCAGGCGTCACATGACAAGGGGGCAGAGCATACTAACTGCTAGCACAGGTCTCTCTTCCTCTAGTTATTTTTATTTTTGGAAATGGGATCTTGCTATATTCAAACTCCTGGGGTCAAGCAGTCCTCCCACCTTAGCTCCCCCAGTAGTTAAGATTACAGGTGCACACCACTCTAACCGTGAGGATCTTCTTTTCATGTGCATCCTTGCCATCCGGATATCTTTTTGGGGGATGCATCTGTGGAGGTCTTTTGTCCATTTTATTTTAGACAGGATCACATTCTGTTGCCCAGATTGGAATGCAGTGGTGTGATCACAGCTCACTGTAGCCTCAAGTAACTCTTGGGCTCGAGTTCCTCCTGCCTCAGCCTCCTGAGTAGATGAGACTACAGGGACACACCACTATGTCTGGCTGATTTATTTTTTGTAGAGGCAGGGTTTCAATATGTTGATCAGGCAGGTTTCAAACTCATAGCCTTAAGAGATCCTCCTGCCTTGACCTCCCCAAATGCTGCAATTACAGGTGTGAGCCACTACCTTTTGCCCACTTTTAAAATTTTTATTATTTTTTTAAATTTTTTATTTTTTTACAAAGACGGGGTTTCACCATGATGGCCAGGCTGGTCTTAAACTCCTGACCTCAGGTGATTCACCCACCTCAGCCTCCCAAAGTGCTAGGATTACAGGCGTGAGCCACTGCGCCCGGCCTTGTCCACTTTTTTAAAATTTGAGACACAGTTTCACTCTTGTTATCCAGGCTGGAGTGCAATGGTGTGATCTTACCTACTGCAACCTCCGCCTCCCAGGTTCAAGCGATTCTCCTGCCTCAGCATCCTGAGTACCTGGGATTACAGGCATGCAGCACCATGCCTGGCTAATTTTGTATTTTTAGTAGAGATGAGGTTTCTCCATGTTGGTCAGGCTGGTCTCAAACTCCTGACCTCAGGTGATTTACCCACCTCGGCCTCCCAAAGTGCTGGGATTACAGGCATGAGCCACTGCGCCCGGCCATCAGGTGTTTTGACCTGCTCCATTTTCAACTTGGGCTGGCTCCCTCTTCCCTAGGGAACCTGGTGGTTCCCACGTCCTGGGATATCACCATATTAATGGCAAACGTAGTGCAGACACTTGATTGGCATAGCCCAGAACTACAACCCTGAACTGGATTCAAATGATCCACCTGCCTTGGACTTCCAAATAACAAGAACTACAGGTGTGAGCCACTGTGCCTGGCTTGTCCACTTTTTTGTAGAATTTTATTTTTATTTATTTTTGAGACAGAATCTGATTCTGTCACCCAGGCTGGAGTGCAGTGGCATGATCTCAGCTCATTGCAGTCTTTACGTCCCTGGTGCAAGTGATTCTCCTGCCTCAGCCTCTGGAGTAGCTGGGATTACAGGCATATGCCAACACACCTGGCTATTTTTTTGTATTTTTAGTAGAGACGGGGTTTCGCCATGTTGACCAGGCTAGTCTCGAACTCCTGACCTCAGGTGATCTGCCCACCTCGGCGTCCCAAAGTGCTGGGATTACAGGTGCCTGCCACTGTGCCTGGCTAATTTTTGTATTTTTTTTTTAGTTAGAGACGGGGTTTCACCATGTTGGCCAGGCTGGTCTCCAACTCATGACCTCAGGTGATCCACCTGCCTTGGCTTCCCCAAGTGCTGGTACTACAGGCATGAGCCATCGTGCCCGGCCCTGGCCGTAATTTTAAAATTTCATTTATTTATTTGTTTGGTGATAGAGACGAGGTCTTGCTATGTTGCCCAGTCTGGTCTCCAATTCCTGGGCTCAAGTGATCCTTCCACCTTGGCCTCCCGTAGTGCTGGCTCACACTTCTCGCAGGTGAGAGCCATGGGCCTCGGCCCTATTGAATTGATTTTTGTGAAGGGCCCGTGTCTAGCCCGGTTTTTTTTGCATGTGGACTCCCAGTTGCTCCAGCACCATTTGCTGAAAAGACTCTTCTCCATCGCATCTCCTAGAGTCAAGCTCAGCTGCCTGCATTCTGTGGTCTATATCCGGGTTCTCTATTCTGTTCATGGGCCCATTTGTGTATTTTTCCACCAGTGCCACAATGTGTCAGTTACTGTCGCCTTCTAGTAAGTCCTGCAATCCTTGTTTTTCCGTGGGGGGCACAACTCAACCCATACAGGGCGCAGCACCCGTGCAGGCACCGCCGCGGAGGCAGCGCGGCAGGGGGCGGTGACCTGTGCCCCCCGGGGGGCTGGCGGCGGGGCCCGGGGAGGCAGAACGCAGGCTGGGCGGCCAGACTCTTCGTAGGGGAACGCGGAGGCGCGCCGGAACGACGCTTCTCTCCGTGACCAAACTCGCCAGGCAGTCCTGGGCCTGCGGAGCTCCAGCAGACGCCGAGGCTCAAGGCCGAGGGTGTCCCCGGTCCCCGAGCCCGCCCGGCAGGGAAGGCCAGGCTGCCGACTCCGGCAGCACCCGGAGCAGGAGCCCAGCGCCCCGAGCGGCGGGCGGCAGAGCACCCCGGCTTCCGCGGCCCGGCCCGGCCCGCCCGCTTTCCGCAGCGTCCGAGTTCCCGGCTGGCCCGCGCCGCTTCCTCCTCCGCCGCCTCCCGGTGCCGCGCGCAGCCGGCCGCGCCCCCCAGGCCCGGCTCGACCGCAGCGGCGCGGGCCAGCGCGCCTGGACCCGGCGTCCTCCCTCCCGCAGCCGCGCCCGGCTCCGAGCCGGACCCTCGCCCGGGATGACTCGCTGCTCACGCCCTGCGGCCGTTAGGCGGGAAGAGCTCGACGCCCTGCCCTGCCCCGTCGCGGCTGACCCTGTCCGCCACGTCCGTGCTGAGGCCCCGGGCCCGCCACGGCGGGGCTTCCGCGGCGGTTTCCCCACCCGTCCCCGGACGGCCGCTCCGCGGGGCGCATCCCGCGAGGCGCGCGCCGCCCGCCGCCTCCTGAGGGTCCCAGGACCCGCGCCCCTCTCCCGGGACTTGAGCGCGGGGACCGGCGCCGGGCCGCCGCACGCCCAACGCCAGCCCCCGCGGCCGCGCGCCCACGGCTCTGGGGCGCCGGCTCCGGGCGGCGATTGGGCGCGGACCGTGACGTCACTGCGCGCGGCGCGAGGGGCCGCCCGGTCTGGGCCGGGTGCGCGCCGCTGAGTAGCGGGAGTGGGGCGCGCGCCCGGCGCTCCTCTGAGGCGGCTCGCGGGGCCCGCGGCCCGGCCCTCCCGGCGCTCCAACCCCCGCCCGCCCGCGCGGTCCCCACCCGCCGCGTGCCTGCCCGCCCCGCCTGTGCGCGGCCCCGGCGCGGATTTGAAAAGCCCGGTCCGCGGGCCCCGCGAGCGCGGCAGCCAATCAGCGGCGCGCACTTTTCCCGCGGCTTCTGCGAGGCGGCGGCGGCCCCGGCGGCGGCGGCGGCGGCGGGCGGGAGGCGCGGGGGCGGGGTCGGCGCCGCGCGCGAGAGCCTCGGCCTGGCCGCGCTGCGCCCGCCGCCGCCACCGCCGCCGCCCCCTCCCCGCCCGGGCCCTCCCGCCGCACGGCCCCGGCCCCCTCCCCGCCCGCCGCTCCGGAGAGCCGCCCGCCGAGGATGCGACGCACTGCAGGTCACTGGGGCGCCCGCCCAACCGCCGCGGGCCGCCAACCGCCGGGGCCGGGCCTGGGAGGCCGGGCGGTGGGAGGCCTGAGGGGCGGCGGGGAGGACCGCGGAGGCCCGGGGGGCCGGCTCGGGGGCCGGGGCACCGGGAGGCCCGAGGGGGTGGCGGGGACTGCGGAGGCCTGAGCGCCGGCGGGAGGCCGGGCGGACCGCGGAGGCCGGGCCGCGTCCGGGCAGGGGAGGGGCGGCGGCCTGCGGGCGGCGGCGGCTAACGGGGCCGGGCGGGCGGGCGGGCGCGGCCATGTTGGGCCCGGCCGGGCCCGGCGGCTGCACCTGTGCCCGGCCGGGCCGAGGCGGCCGCCTTTGTTCCCGCTGCGCGGAGCGGGTCGGGCCGGCCTTTGTGCTGCGCCCCCGGTCCGAGGCGGCCGCGGTGGGAGGGGCCGGTTGGGGTCCCCGGGCCGGGGCCGGGGGTCGGGCCGAGGGGCGCTTTTTGTTTGCGGGCGGCGTCCGGCGCTGACACCCGCGGCGCCCGGGCGTTGGTCAGCGCGGGCGCGCCCCGGGGGAGCCGGGCGGCGGTCCGGCCGTTGGCAGGTGGAGACGCGGGGAGCCGGGCGAGGGGACCCTGCCGGGGGCTGTCGGCGCGCGCCGCGCCCTCGGCCTCCCGGCCTCCGCCTGGCCTGTGCCCCTCGCCCCGGGATGCAGACGGAGGGTCCTCCAAGCCTCGGGACGGGGGACGGGACCTGGCGACCGGGGGACCGGTTTTGCCCCGCTCGCGGGAACCGTGCTTTAAAATCTCGGCGTTTAAAAAATGCTGGTCTTGAGTTTCTGTAGAAATAAAATGGATGAGGGTATTGTATAGGAGCCACTGCAGCGCGCATCTTTCTGTGCCCACCGTGGGCTTTGACATTCAGGTTGAAACGCTACAGACCGACGTGGTGGTGTTAGTCATTTTTAGGTAGATAATGTGTATTTGTGGGTGTTTTTGTACATACAGCACAGACCCTGTGAAGACATTTGATAAAGTTCTAGACCTGGCTTAGGAGGAGTTTTCAGTACTACCCACCTACTTCACAGACTTTTAAGCCTTGATTTTTAAATGAGTTAAAAGCCAGGATCACGCATTGATTATATTGACTCTATTTTCTGTATTTTAAATGTTATCAACATGGAAAATAATTTAGGAGCCATCCCATTTATGAACGTGGGACTTAAACTGTATAATTTTCCAAAAATGTTGTAAATGCCCTAGTTACATATTTAAATGTGACGAGAGCAACAATATTTTAAAAAGCAGAATGCCAACACCATGAAGCACGTTTCTGAGCACAGCCTTTCCTGGTGTACTTAATGTGTGCTCTCATTCCCCGCAACTGATGATGGTTCAAATCTAAACTGCCAACTGGAGATGAAGAGGTCTCATGCTTTAAGCACGATTACTTTGAGTCATTTCCTTTTCTTTCCTTCCATTTTCTCAGCCACCCAGCAACCTTCAGTTTTGGGCTGGTGGTTGGTAGAGTGAGAACTTAACTGCACAATTTTGAGTTTATGTAAGCTTTTGTGAAGAACTCTGATCTCTTCAGTACAAAAATCGTTCCCTCCTGACTGCATTACTACCAAAGATTCTGGCCTGATTCTAACAGGAAACATTTAATTTTAAGAGTATGAGGTAACTAACTGAATTTTGAAGAATGATGGGCAGTTTATCTTATATATTCATATGTAACATGTAAACTGATGGAACATGTAGACATGAACAAAATGATACGGTAAACAGGCCGTAGGTGTGACTTGGTTTGTTTTTATGCAATCAACGTATACAGGGCTTTTAAACCAGTACCTGCTGAAGTGTGGGGACCCAAACGAAGAATTAGTTGGAATCCCAGAATGAATCAGGAAAATAATCTGAGTAGGTAGAGGACTACCCACCCCTCCTAACCTTGTGGGGTTTAGGTGGGTACAGTCTTTTACCTATTCAGATTATTTTCTCCTTCTAAAAGTTATCAAATATTACAAAGTTTACTTACATGGCAGAATGTGAACTAATTAGTTACTTTTTTACAGTTTGAAGATTCAGTATAAAACATGTAAAAGTAGCTGGAATTAGTCTTACTAAGCCACAGGATTCTCTTTACCAAGTAAGAACTTAAATGAAAAGATGTGGGCCGGGCGCGGTGGCTCAAGCCTGTAATCCCAGCACTTTGGGAGGCCGAGGCGGGTGGATCACGAGGTCGAGAGATCGAGACCAACCTGGTCAACATGGTGAAACCCCGTCTCTACTAAAAATACAAAAAATTAGCTGGGCATGGTGGCGTGTGCCTATAATCCCACCTACTTGGGAGGCTGAGGCAGGAGAATTGCCTGAACCCAGGAGGCGGAGGTTGCGGTGAGCCGAGATCGCGCCATTACACTCCAGCCTGGGTAACGAGAGCGAAACTCCGTCTCAAAAAAAAAAAAAGAAAAGATGTGCTAAGATGGTGCCGAAGTTCATAATCCAAACATATTTTGCCCTGTGCCATTTTATTTATTTTTAGAGACAGAGTCTCTCTATGTGACCCAGGCTTGAGTGCAGTGGCTGTTTCAGAGGAGAGAAGTCATGGTGCATTTCAGTCCCAAACTCTTGGGCTCAAGTGATTCTCCTGCCTCAGCCTCCTGAGTAGTGGGGACTACAGGCACACGAAACCTTCCCTGGCTCTACCCTGTCCTTTTTAGCTGGGCAAGTGGGCAAATAACCTTTTTAAGTAAATACTTCACTTAATCAGAGGGAACAGAAGTCATAAGGCTTTGTACTCATATGTTCTGGTACAGGTTTTTGGTTTTGCCTTTTTTTTTGGGTGGGCTGCTTATGGCCATAGAATGCATACAACTTTGGATAAGCATCTTAGTCTTCTGAACCTCAGTCTCTTTTTTTGCTTGATTGTAGTAAATGTGACCTTGTTCTCCAAATACATGGTACCATGTCCTGAGTCCAGGCCTTTGTGTGGGCTGTTCTTGGATGTGGACTGCCACTTGTCCTTCCTCTTTGAGCATAATTCATGGCGTTTTAATGGCCACATGTGACCTTGTCTCCTGTTGGGTGAACTCTTAGAGGTAGGACTCTGTCATTGCCTTGGGCAGCGTAGCCTCTGCTGGTGCCTTCTCATGCAGACACTCAGTAAGTGCTGAATAAATGGGCATATGGCTTAGGGTAAACAGCCCATTTTAATGCTTGTATCTGGCCGGTTTGCCTCTCTCTTTTGTAAGTATTATTGAGCAGAAAGGAACCCTCTGGGAGAAAAAGCTGAGTCTAGAAAGGATATGGCTGGCCTGAGGTCCGTCTGAAACATTGCAAGTATATAAGTATAACAAGTAATAGGACAGATCTCTACTACCACCAAGATAGGTCAAGAAACTTACCTTGTTGATTTCTCTATCCTTTATCAAGATAAAATATAACACACAGAATACAAAAGCAAGAGATGACACCAGAGCTTTAGAGGATTAGGCTCGTATTTACAAACTGTATGATTTGCTAGTTTCTTTTTTTTTTTTTTTTTTTGAGGCAGAGTCTCACTGTCACCAGGCTGGAGTGCAGCAGCGTGATCTTGGCTCACTGCAACCTCTGTCTCCCGGGTTCAAGCGATTCTCCTGCCTCAACCTCTTGAGTAGCTGGGACTACAGGCGTGTGTCACCACGCCCAGCTAATTTTTCTATTTTTAGTGGAGGTGGGATTTCACTATGTTGGCCAGGTTGGTCTTGTGTGATCTGCCAGCCTCGGCCTCCCAAAGTGCTGGTATTACAAGTGTGAGCTTCTTTTTAATGAATGGTTATTTATAGTGAGTACTTTGGGGGATAAAAAGACTTACGTTGGTTACACAGGGACTCTTTAGCATTTTGTATATGTCTATTGGTTGTTGCAATATTGCTCTTGTCTTTTGAGACAGGGTCTCACCTGTTACCTCGTGTGGAGTGCAATGGTGTAATCATAGCTCATTGTAATGTAGCACTCTGGGCTCAAGCTCTCCTCCCAGATCAGTCTCTGAAGTAGTTAGGACTACAGGCAGATACCACCATGCTTGGCTAATATAAAATTTTTTTATGGAGACAGTCTTGCCATGTTGAGGCTGGTCTCTGTAACTCCTGGCTTCAAGTGATCCTCCTGCCTTGTCCACCTAAAGTGCTGGGATTACAAGTGTGAACCACTGCGCCCAGCCAAGTTCCAGTATAGCTTTTTACTTTTTTTTTTTTTTTTTTTGAGACGGAGTTTTTCTGTCACCCAGGTTAGAGTGGAGTCATAAAATCACAGCTCACTGCAGCCTTGACCACCTGGGCTCAGTTGATCCTCCCACCTCAGCCTGTTGAGTAGCTGGGACAACAGGCGTGTGCCACCATGCCCAGCTAATTTTTGTGTTTTTTTGTAGAGACAAGGTTTCACCATGTTGACCAGGCTGGTCATGAACTCCTGGGCTCAAGTAATCCTCTCATTTCAGCCTTACATGTGGCCTGCAGTATAGCTTTTGAAGGAATTGACTGATTTAATGAAATTTGGTTTGCTAGTTGAAAAATTAAGACAGATTTCAAATTAGTTTTGTTTTGGCATCTGCCTTCTTAAAACCACCTGGCCACAGGTGAGTTTTCAAAGCGTCTTACTTTCTGTAATACTTAATGGTTTTAGCAAAATATACTGAAGTAGTTAGGACTACAGGCAGATACCACCATGCTTGGCTAATTTAAAATTTTTTTAATTAGGATAGAAATTACAGAGTTGGTTAGCTGAGTACTATGGCCTCAGCTCAAAAACTCCAGTAGTGGCTAGGCACAGTGGCTCATGCCTGTAATTGGAGCACTTTGGGAGGCTGAGGTGGGAGGATCACTTGAGGCCAGGAGTTTGAGGCCAGCTTGGGCAACATAGGGAGACCCCATCTCTGTAAAAATTTTTTAAAAATGGCCGGGCGCGGTGGCTCAAGCCTGTAATCCCAGCACTTTGGGAGGCCGAGGCGGGTGGATCACGATGTCAAGAGATCGAGACCATCC